CCGTAGTTAGTTAAATGCTGGTGTACGGGAGATTTCTAAACAATTTTATACATTCAGTTTGTGCTTTACATCAGCGTATTATAGCAAGTTGGTCTACACTTGAGTAGGTTTTAATGGTCATTGATCAAGAGAAAAGGTTCAATGGTAACAATTGGTCATTTCTTAAGTACAAATAAGCTTCTGTGCAAGATATTAAAGAACACTTCGACAGTGTTTATTTATATTTAATGTGTGGTAACAAATAAAGTAAGGGGGCCGTGGTGGCCAAACGGTTAAGGCGTCTGACATTCTGCTACTGTACCACTAGCCCTCTACCACTGGGTCGCGGGTTCCAGGCCTACGTGGGGCAGTCGCCAGGTACTGGTCGTAGGTCGGTGGTTTTTCTCCGGGAACTCCGGCTTTCCTCAACCACCGAAACCTGACACGTCCTTAAATGACCATAGCTGTTAATAGGACGTTAAACACAAACAAAACAAATTAAACAACTAAAGTTCCAGACCTGAATCATTTAATAGGTCAAGGTTAATAGCTAGAATAGATAACCCTTTGTGGATGTCTCTTTTAATTGAGCTCCCGTTCATGATATCTATTTGTCGTTTCATATTTATGTTTTTGAGGTTTATGATGTCACTTTGGTTGCCCTAAAGTTCCTGGGTTTTTTTGCCTTTTGACACCGTCATTGTCTTTCCATTATTCTCTGTATCATTAAGTTTCATTATTTCCAATTTTTAACCCTAACTACGTTTTTGATATCTCAAAAATTGCAATTGAATCAAAGAAATATTGTTATATCGCCCGTCGGCGTTGTATTTTAGGTTGTTCTTTTTTTAGTAGCAACCAGGCCATATTAATATTGTTTCGTATTATTTAAACTTTTTTATCGTTGCTTATCTTAAGAGTTCACAATCTAGGTTAAATATGTTTTAAAAGAGACATCAGAGTGTAATTACGGCCTTTTAGTTTTGGTTAATATGAATGATGATGTAAAAAACAAAAAACTTGTTAAGACAACTCTGTACCATTCTCTGATTTGCTGAAATCTCTTCATAAGATGACATAGTCGAAGCTGAGGCTTTGGTTTATAAAATAAAATATAATGTCATTTCGTATCAGTTAACTTTCATTTGCAACAGGAAATCAGAAATGTTATCTTTATTTATCTTAAGAGTTTACAGAACGAGAAGTCTAGGTTGAAATGCTATGGAAGTAAACAAGAGAAGTGTAAGTGTCATTACAACCTTTTAAATGATATTGCTGATGTAAAAAACACATCTTGTTAGGATAACTTTGTACCATTCTCCTATTTTCCTACATATCCACTATAAGTCGTCGCTTGGGCGTTGACTTATAAAAACATATCATGCGATGGTCATTTGATCAGGACCTGTGGTGCCAGGTGATTTTAATGGTAGTTAACTTATTCATTATCCTAAAATGTCAGCAGCGACTGCCCCGGGGTATTTCTGTAACTTCATTTTTTATTTTATCAGTACGAACTGACGGAAAGGTTAAAACTGGCAGGCGACATTTTCATTAAGATATTTTTCATGAAGTTATAATAGTCGCCCGAAGAGGAGTATCACATATCACATTCAAAAGCATGGTTAAAAGTTCATTATGACTAGTTGTTTATGCTCTTCGTGGATCTTTTAAAATAAAATACTTTTTTCTACTACTTTATAAAATGTCAGACTTTACATAAAAAACAAATACAGTCTTTGGGATAGGGCAATGGGTAATTTCTCTCAGTCATCCAAATAGTCTACAGTCTCCTCGGTGTGAAAACGTCAGGTGTCTCAGAGAACATTTAGACCGACGAAAACGTAATTAACAAATAAGTTAGGTCCAGTTGAGATTAATCACAGTCGTATAGTATCCCTGATCAACTATCTGTGTCAGCCACTGGCCAGGGAAAATATTTCAGATCACTAATCAAAATGTATTTTTTCTGTTCTATATTATCATATTTTGAATAGACTAGTGATCTGTCAGATCATAGAATTTAAAATTAAAAGTGAAATTATATAAATACCCCGGGGGAGTCGCTGCTGATATTTTTAGTGTGTAGATTATGATTACAACCATTACAATCACCAAGCACTATATGTACTGATCTCGCGGCCATCAGATAATCGGCATATCGCTTGATGTGTGTTATATACGAACGCCTTAGCAGTGGCTATCGTATCATGTATGGAGATGTGAACAAATAGGAGCATGGTACAGATTTGTCTTAACAAGATGTTCTTAACATCACCATCAACATTAATCACATCACCATCAACATTAATCATATCACCAACAACATTAATCACATCACCAACAACATTACTCACATCATCATCAACATTAATCATAGCTAAAAGTCTACAATGGCACTTTGACATTTGCAAAAGTCTTTCAAAACATTATTGATCTAGATTTCAGGTTTTGTCATCACTTCAAAAAAAAAGATATATCATTTTAAATTTTCTGTTGCAAATGAAGCTTAAAGGATACGAAATGACATTAACACAGCACGGTTTTTCACTAAGTCAGCATCAGAAATACAAAGCGTCCGGACGATATAACAATATTTGAACTCGATTTCAATATTTAAGATATTGAAATTATATTTAAGCTCGAAAATCGACAAACAAAAACGATAATTTCAAAAAACCAGAAAGCAATAAAAACTCTATGATGACGTCAAATATAAAAAAGGAACCATAGGGCAATCAAGGTGACACCATAAACCTTACCAAAACAGATGTGAACCGAAATACAAACAAAGTGAGCGGGGTCTCAACTACATACCACAAGGGGCATCTTTATTAACCATTAGCCTGGATCAATGACATTCAAAATAATTCAGGTGTGGAATGATTTGCTACCACACTGTCAATAGAAAGAATCTTTTTATATACAAGATTACAAGAACAGCGTTGCGTAAGCATATATTGTTGATGACCGTGCTTGACCTATCGTACAGAAATCCATATTTTGTGGCCAATATAAATCGTCGTTGCAACGATTTCAATGTAGAATAATCCAATGATTACCCGCATTCGCAGTTTTCCGCATGCATGTTAATAAAGGCTGCAACATGAGCTATATTTACAGTTTGCGAAAGATGTATTTGTTATCATTTGATATCAATGATCATCAGTATGTTTTCTTTACAGATAACTACACCACTGAGAGTGACGTTGGCATTTGAAGAGGATGCAATTGTCACATTCTCTTTCGGCCATCTTGATGGTAGCATCCATTTCGTTCGCTTACGGTGTAGATTGTCCGTGGGATGATGCTGGACTTACACTATGGTCATCATTGGTAAGTATTATTATCAACAACTAATTGTGGAGGTGTGTGTCCGTTATAATGTCGAAAATAAAAAGATAGACAATACCAACCTGAATTGTAATATTTGATGTTCTTTTATATTTCAAAGGATCATTGAAGGTAACCAGTTACTGAATTCTGTGACCTCAAAACAAGGAATATCAGTTTCTAAAGTTCAGATCAATGCATCCAAGTTTTCTTTTGGTGTCAAGTCCGCACAAAGTTTAGTTTGTGTGATTTCAGGTCCCTACATACTATTTTATTTGGTTTCAGATTTGTACGGGTTAGTTTCTGTGGTGTAAAGTTGGTTCCACATAGTACTTTTTGTCGTATGAATTCCGCACAAACTTGGTTCTGTGGTTTTAAATTAGGCCAATCCACTTTGCAGTTAATCAATTAAAGTTTCCATTATAGTTTTGCTAGTTTCAGATTAACTACATACAAGTTTCTATGATTTCATATCTTGTACATTCTAGTTTGGGTGGTCTCTGTAACTACATATGAAATTACATGGTTTCAGAATGTGTTTGTCATACTTTATGTACTATTTATTTCAGTAGTTTCAGGGCACTGCATACTTATTATGTGATTCAAGTCAGTAGTTTTAGTTCTGTACTTTCATGTCAACTACATACACATACAAGCTTCTAAAATTTCATATTTATAAAATCTAATTTCTGTAGTTTCTGATTACTACTTACGAAATTACATGGATACGGGCCAGGCTGTTTTTCTTTCTGTAATTTCAGAGCACTGCTTATTTGTTAAGTTGTTTTACCCGTTGATATTAAAAAAGACCTTTATTTTATTTTATTTTAAAGATTGCACTATGACAACCACAGTGTAAAAAAATCACCTAAATGTTATTTGTAAGCATTAAGGGATTTTTACATAAAGGCTTTCTACAACATGCGTTTCAAAGGACATTTGACTATCGCTTGATGTATGCGTGATGGATTATTTATACTGTGGGATATTTCAATTCAATAAAGTTGACAACATTAATGATATTTTCAGCAAAAGATGTACTGTGTATCTTCTTTTGCAAATCAATTTCAACATCTTGATGAAATAAGTTACCAAGGCGATGATGAAAACCAACAAAACTACAGTAAGCATACACGGGGACCAAAAGTGTTTAACAACGAACATGTGTATTTCTGTACACATTTAAGCAAAATTATCTGATATCGTTCCAAATCTGATGTCATATAAGACTTTAAACTACTTCCAAGCTGTTTCATTCATGTTTTATCAATGCTTCATAATTGCTTCATTAAGCATTTTACTTAAGTCATATTTTTTGTTAAATATTTCCATTATTATACATATATATTAAACAAATGTTAAGACATGTTTGAAATGAAACAAGCATTTAATATCAATTATATATTAAGTTACGTGGTTTTATTTACGCCCCCTTCGCATTGAAACATTTATTTTTTTATATTAGTTTGAATTTTAACGGATTTTTTTTTTAATCTTGTTCTTTTTTTAGTGCTTCCTGCTGTTGAATAATAAACTAATTTATTAGTTAATAATTAATAATAATCAAGGGCTAGTGTAAAGTCACATTTTTATTCTGACCAACATTATATGCCACGTTTCGAAATCAATGTTTTCATTATCAGTCAATAATCTGCAATATGTATACTCCTATAATAATGAAAGAAAGAATGGATGTCATTCCTTTGGTAAATTTATCAAGCCCATACTTTATCAAAAAGAATAATGAATTATGTAGATTGTTCGGTTGCTTTACCTTAACACAAGTAATTGTTAAAAAGCATAGACGTAGCTGTATATGGATATCTAAACATTTAATTTAACCATTTCAGAATGCTGATCCTAATACAAACGTTACAATTAACACGGGGGTCCTCTATGACGAGAGTTCTGCTGACGAGTATATAGGAATCTATGTAGTCGATGGTGGGACGCTTGTGTTCAAGCCCGATGTCACAGATGACCTCATCCTGAAGACTCACTTCATCGTTGTTAAGAATGGTGGCCGTGTGGATGTAGGATCTGAAGAATGTCGATACACTGGCAAATTGACCATTCAGCTTATCGGTAGCTATTATTTACATACTTACTTCTTAATTAATTAACTTTATTACACAACCTCAAGATATACTATCTACAGATGGATTGATAGATATAAAAGTGGGTTTTTTCGCCCGGCCGGCCAAACGGATAGGTTTTATCATTAGCATCTCAATTCAGCTGTAACTGTGTTTTTTTGCATGATACATGTAGTTTGCCATATGTATTGCTGAAGAAAGTCACACAACACTGAATAATGTTAAATGTTACGTCTAATACTTTGCAAAAGGTCTGCTTTCTGAAAGACTATTAAAACGAAAGTACTAATATATCGATTATGACTTGCTTTCATACATTTTTCAGGCAAGAGAGATACGATTAATAATCTTGAAGGATTCGGTGACAAGACCATTGGTGTCGAAGAGGGAGGCAATCTCAATATATGGGGACCCAAAAAGGTCTCGTGGACCACGCTGAATGCACCACTGCCAAAGATTGCAGATGAAGGAATATTGTTTAATCAGCAGGTAATTGAGATTGTTCCTTGTGTTAACGTTTACGTTACATTTTGTCAGTTTTTTGTTGAAAAGCTGGAGATTATTTGAGTCTTTCTCTGGTATTAATATGGGGTAACGTTTTCGCAATTGATTGTAAAACATAAGGTTCCTCGCAACGTGGAGTCACACACACGCTTCCTGTAATATAGTTTCCTTTCCATTTAACATCTTTATATCTGACCTGGTTGCGTGCTGGTTATTCTACATCTGTGCCATGGCCTCTTTTCAATGACAAATTGTGTAACAACCATGGCATCCGATTTTCACCAAACCCTGAGGAGGGAGATTAGCCTTTGGCTTAATCAGGTGCTAATCCTCAATAAATAAAGTTTGTTATTTTTTCTTTTTTTAATCAACGACTGCCATTACAAAAAATAGATAAGTTCACACAAAATACTTTGAAGTTTGATGTGTTTGATATATTTCATCACTTGCCATATGTGCTAGATGATATTTGCAGAAATGCAGAAATGTTGCTGTCATCTAAAGTGTCGTTTTTGTATTGTTTCTATCAAAATAGTCAACAACATACACATGTCACACAACTTATTTTCAAGTTTTCATTTATTATTTGAAAAATCAATACTTAACTGTATCATTCATAAGTTTGGTAGGTTTTAAGATGTTTCTTCACTTATATATTTGCTTTTTATGGTACTCAAATGAATGAGATATAAGGAAGTGATGTTCTGTTCCAAACCGCGTCATTGCATGTTATAGAGGATATCAAACGAGTCAGGACAGATACAAGCTGTTACGATTCTATTGAGGTTAATTTCATTAACCATTCCGTCAAAAACCTTACAAACATCTTAAACAGAATATAGAATTTAGATGCAAAAATAGAGATAGGTTTTACGACGTGTATCATTTATGATAAGTTGATATCGTTTTTTGCAAACTCGTGTAAACAGTGTTTTGCCTTCTACACGTGAATAAGAAAGGTAATGAAGCAAGCTTGGAATTCTGATATAAACATTACAAATTACAGTTTATACTTTATAACTAGGTAACACAAGGCGACGATTCCCAAGGTCTGGTTGTGTATCAATTTGATCCTGACCTTACCAATTATTCTGAAGATGATGTCAAGCGGGAAATCTTCAAATTTAAGATGGCCTCAGAGAAAAAATTCAATGAAAGCGTTGATGGTCTGAAACAGTACTTTAATGGTAAGTTTAAGAAATATAAATAAACGGTTAAACAACATTGGTTGGATATCGATTTGATATCATGAATCGTTTGCAACAAAATATCAAGTAAACAGAACTTTTACATAGTGTTATAGGTCAAATATAATATCATTTTGAAGAACTTCAAAAGTGCCGCATTACTGGAATCGTTTGCTCCTTTTATTAAATCCAATGATGAAACAACGACCTAATTATCCTATTAACTATATAGTATCGTATAACATGTATTAACGGGCATACTATGCTTAATTGGACTATGGCAGTGGTTATGCTTTACAAATATTTAGATAAAAAGTATAAGACTAAGCGGCTAGCGTATTTGGCCATTAGGCACTCGATGAGGCCCGCCCAATGGAACGCGCTGCCAACTCTCACTTATAGTTTATATGTCTTTATTTACAATCTAATATAATATTCATTACATATTTCATTTCATTGCACTTACATATTTCGTACTTAGTCTGTTATGTAATAATATTAGTACAGTTCGTATCCATATTTATCATATGAATACCGTGTTATGCATTGCCATAAAGCCATCATTGTTTATGTAACAAATAGGAACAATCAATGTGACGTCACGTCATTGTGAAGCGAACGCAATTTTCATCGTTTCAGAGGCGCCCAAGTACAACATATTCGTTGCAGATCACAATTATGATATAGGTTACTTTGTATTATATGATAAAAAAGAATCTGTCATTCGTTTCCCTTTTATATTAGATTTATGAGACAAGTTTTTGATTTTTCATGCTTGCGAGTCTCTGGCGGCAATAATAATCAATAATAGACGGCAATACAACTAAATATATAATGATATGCTAGATTCGTTTCAAACCTAATATCAAGGGAAATTTGTGACAGATCCTCTATACATTGCGACCCAGGTACTCGCATCATCAATAGACGATTTGTCACTATGACCATGTCCAAAGTATTGGGCTGTTGACCACTGCCATATCGAATCCTTATTCAGAAGGTCTGGTTGGTGTAGTGGTAGGAACAGAGGATATGTCTCGGCTAGGCGATAAGGTGCCGTAGGTCGTGAGTCCGACGCCCACGAGTCTGAAAGTTGTTCTCTTTCGTTATCTGGTTATAGTAATTATATATATAAAAGGTTACTATAATATATTTTTTTCATTGTACATGATATAAATTATTATTGTTTTTTCCTTTCTATTTAGACGCACCCGATGGTTACATAGTCGTTGCTGCTATTCGGAAGTCGTTGTCGGCAGAAGATGATGAAAAGGACTTCCAAATTTTATACGATGTAATAGCAGACTTTTTAGGCGTAGACGTAGAAGATACAGTGATCAGCGATCTTCAATTCTACGACGGATATGTGATGATTAAAAAGAAAGGTAAGCTATATTTGATTTACAGGAATCAAAACTAAAAGGAAGGAAAGTTGAGAGCTGGGGACTTTGAGGTGATTATTATTAAAAAAAAAAAAAAAAACGAGTAGAAATTAAAAATGCAGATTGTTCAAATATTATTTGTTCCGTATGTAATTTGTAGGTGACCCGAACAAGATGATAGAGCAGACAAGCAAATACAGGACGAATTCCGTGGATCAGGTATCTGAAGCTGTGTTGTTTGATGGAGACAAGAAATATTACGGCAAGAGTTATACCAGGAATCCACTTTATGCAAACTCCTATACATTCGTCGAGGTGACCCATCGAACTAACTCCGAACCAACAATCGAGCTTTCCGAAGACATTTCCTCGTGGGAGTTAGGTAACTTTACAAACAAAAAACCACAAACGAGTTAATCAAATACCCTCCCAGTCCTAATGTTACCACCCTCACACCGTCGTCTCTCCTGTCTGTACTGTTACCACCCTCATACCGTCGTCTCTCCTGTCTATACTGTTACCACCCTCATACCGTCGTCTCTCCTGTCTATACTGTTACCACCCTCATACCGTCGTCTCTCCTGTCTGTACTGTTACCACCCTCATACCGTCGTCTCTCCTGTCT